CGCCGGGGCAGCGTGGGCGCTGAGCAGCAGTTCCTCCGCGCCCCTCACCGGCGCCGACTCCGCCAAGGCCTCGTACCAGCCGCCCGCCCCGCCGGGAGCAACTGCAGAAGCCGACGCCATCGACCACCCCGGGAGAGCAGGAGGCCGCCAGGTTCTGCTCCCTGGGGAAGGCGCAAGCGGCGGGGGCCCAGCCTGGAGCTGCAGGACAGTCAGCGGCCGCAGACACCGACCGCCGACCCGGCACAGCATTCTGCGCCAGGGCGTGGGCCACCACGCGGGTCTCGCAGACCAGCGACGTGTACTGCTCCGCAAGGGACACCCGGCTTCTGCAGCGGCGACACCTGTCGTGAAGCGTGCGGCCTCGCCGGCAATCACGATTGACCTTCGCGGCCAAACCCGAGACACCATGCGTCGCGCTGGTGATGACGCAAGAGACGAGGAAGTCCCGCCTTCCCCACGCGGCACTGGGCAGGCGTGGTGCACACTCGCAAATTTTCCGGGTGCCGAGGTGGAGCTGGTGGGAGGCCGGAACTGCAAGACCGCGGCGTGCTCAGCTGCCTTGGGCCGGGAGGGCGGTGCTCTAGGGAGCTCTCGCCTGGTGCAGGCGGTCTTCCGCGGGGTCGCTTCGATTCGCTTTGACCCAAGCTAGTCGCGGGTGGCTTTTGTGACCCGAAGCTGGTGTCTCACCTCTGCGTGCTCTCGATCGCTTCCGCTGGCGACTGCGATTGATTATAGTGCCCCAAGAGTCAACCCGCTGCTGAAAAGCCGCCTTGGAGAGCGACGCGAAGCTCTGGTTGACCCCGGGTATTAATCATCATCCTGTAGGCGCTAAGTATACGTAGTTAGGTGTGTAGTCTAAGATTTAATTGGTTCCATTAGCATTTTCAACCCCACCTGGCAACTGAATTCTTATCTTCCCCTTATATATAGTAGCGAAACATTTTATGAAGGGTAAGAGAACGAGGCCAATCAATCTTAACTAGAGCTGACTTTATATAAACTTTAAAACACCCGAACAGTATTAGATGTCTTCTGATCAAAAGGAATACGAGAGTCAGCCGGGACGCGGTGGTTCCCACGTGGCTGACTGTAGTTGGAGTCCCGGGATTCCGGGATCACGGGCTTGAGAAACAACGCTGAGGGAATGGAGATGGGATTGCAGCGTGGCCATTCCCCATGGAGTGCTTTCTCACTTTCTCCATCTCTCTTCCGTAAGCAGAGAGCGCAGGCGCCCTCTAGCGAATTTAAAAACAACAACCGAGGAGTCTACTAGAACTATATAGTTGTTTATAATATTTTTTGTGTTCCTGACAACAGCAAGTGAACTAGATTTAGATAGAGCGGTTTCCTTACAGAAGAGTCACCCTAGACCTACAAGCCAAAATATGCTTTATAAAAAGGAAGCTTTTTTAAAGTAAGCCCACGAGAAATGATGAGTAATGTCAAACTGCATGGCTGCTGATCTTCCTACATTTGTGCACCAAAGCTAGGTTATCAGATTCATTCCTCTGGATTCTGGAAGTCATCTTTCTTCAAACTGGTAAATACATACATGAATTTTCAGATGCATAAACACATCACAATGTTATATATTTTCTATATAAAGTTTACCAATTGGGACTGGCAGGTGGCATGGTGGTTAAGGGCACTGGACTCCCACAGGCTGACCATGGTTTAAGTCCCGAACCTGGTGGCTTGCTTTTTCACTTTCGTACTCTCTCACTTTGCCCCTCTCTGGTCAACCGATAAATAAATAAATAAATAAATACAAATAAAGAGTTTAATAAAGTAATTATTAAATAATAAAAAATAAATTTAAAAATTAAAAATCTACCAATCTATTTCCCTATCCATTTGTTAATTAAGAAACAAGTTGCAAAAAAAAAAAAAAAAAAAAACATACCAAAAAAAAGAAGGGGGGGGAAAAAAAGCAAAACATACAGAAAACAAGAAGTGGAAAATTATTTGCTGACAATAACATGTTTGTTGATGTGTTTGATTGAGACAATGTACAGTGTATTCTGGATGGAAAATCTCAATTTTTATGCTGTAATGATGTACAGTGAATAAGTGTAAATGAATAAATTAAAATTTAAAAAAAGAAACAAGTTGCTCCTGATTACTGATTTAAAGTAAAAATGTGTAAACACATTCAATTTTAAATAGAAATCTCACCTAAAAACTGGAAGTAGGTGACTTCTACACTGTTGCATTCCCTTCCTTCCAGGAACTAATGTTATTTAGATTTAGCTTTTTCCAGTGACAGTTAGCTAAGGGACTCTGAATTTTTAATATCCAAGAAGAAGGTTCTGTTTGTTTTTAATTGTATTTTTAAGTTTTTGCTATAGGCTATGCACACTTGAGAGAAAGTGAGAAATCACCCCACCCCCCAGAGGGAATGGCTACGCTATAATTGCTCCTCCACTCTTGGGATTTTGGGCACCTTGCTCCCAGACATACCCAGTGTGGTTTTCTTTTTGGGAGGAGAGGTTTTTTTTACTATAGCGTATGTTCATTCACTGAAGAGAAAGAGACAGAAATCACCCCCCCACACACACACACCCTGGAGGAGATGGCTACACCACAATCCCTTCTCCTCCATTCTCTTGGGATTTTGGGCAGCCGTGCACACTCCATGCATTGGATTTCAAGCTTCTGGGTCCGGGACCTAAAGTACAGTTGAATACGTAGGGAGTCCAGTGTTGTAAACATTACACCATCTGCTGGTCCCCCTGAAGCAGAAGCACCTCCATCTTCAAACTTTACATTATACTTGCTTCCTTCCTCCTTTTTCCCAAAATAGTGTGATTAATAGTCTTACTGTCTGCTAACTAGTCTGAAACCCTTTCGTATAGATGTCCCTCAGCAACATAACTACCAATCACCAGACCCCTGCCCGGAGCCATGGGGAACATGAAACAAAGGTCTGCAGTGTGCCCTTAGACTTGATTAACCTGCTTGATTCAGCTTCTGTAACTGCTTTCACATGGGAACTCCACTCACGCCCTTCCTCCTCACCCCCCTCCTCAGTTTCCATTCTAATCACCATTTCAACCCAAAATTGATTGTGGTTTTTGCCTTTATAAGCACCCCTCTCCTTTCACTCAGGGATACAGGGTTTTGAGAGACATGAGCCCCCACCACCACCACCACCACCACCAATGCCTCCGACTTAATAAACTCCAATAGATTTGGCTCTGTCTGGATGTCCTCTTACTTCTCTCCAAGTAGGTTATAACATTTGGAGGCCCCAGCAAGACCCATACCGACCAGGTACTTGGGTGAGGCATCCTAGGGAGAGTGTCCTCGCTTGGTCCAGCTGCCAACTACCCGGAATGCTCTAAGGGAGGCCCCACCTGGGATTTCCTGGACCCCAGAGCTATCTTTGGGGATTGTTGACAGCTGGCAAGAGACTCTGACTACTGAAAGTTTGTGGAGTTCTAGTCTAAGTCCTCCAGAGGCATTTCTTCAGGTGTTCCTGTCCTGCTCTTTGGGAGACAAACTGGTAAGTACAGGGTTGAAAAAAGGAGAGCCCCCTGAGGTCTGACGTGCTAGATCAGAGGTTCGAGTTCCTCCTCGGGTGGCTGGATTCATGGCTGACCAGACATGGTTATAGAACCTACTTAGATTACACCAGACATGCCGGAATCTGGAGCTAGAGTATAAGAGGTTTGAGTCCCCCCTAGCCTTTAGACAGTTTGTGGGAAATCAGGGTTTGAGTCCCTGGGTATCTTGGAATCTTTTTGTCTTTTGTTTCTACTGCGTTTTAATTATTTTCTCCACATTCTCCTGGAGGATGTTATGTGGTTCCCCTATCCTCCTCATTTGAAGATACTGAGCAGTGGATTGCTGACCTCGCTTATCAAGGCACTTCCCCAAAAGTTCCATCCCAACAAGGTCGATCTTTTTTGCTTTCTTTCTTGTCTTTTTTCTTTTTAAAGAATTATTTTATTTTACTTTATTCATTATTATCATTATTATTTTCCAGTTTGATCAGAGAGAGACAGAGGAAATGTTGAAAGCAATCCACCAGGTCCGAGACTTGAACCGTGGTTGGCCACGTGGGAGTCCAGCGCCTTTAACTACCATGCCACTTGCCACCCCACTTTCTTTCTTGTCTTAATCATATTAACTGGTGAGAGGGAATGTTATAACCTCAGCCACCTCCTCAGTGTCCATGCTCTAGAGATTTTTCTGTTCTTTCAGCCCTCTGGCATTTTACCTGTGCTCTGAGGGAGGAAGAAGTTCCCCTTACACAGATAAACCCCGACTCTTTTTGGAGAGGTTTTCGCTATAGGGCGCGTGCGCTCGCCAGAAAGACACACAGAGAGAGAGAAAGCCAGAAATCACCCCTGACCAGGGATGGCCATACCGCAATCCCTTCTCCTCCATTCTCCTCTTGGGAACTTGGGCACGTGCCTGGCGTGAGTTTAAAACGCTGCGTCCAGGACTTGGACCGCGGTGGACTACGTGGGAGTCCAGCAACATAGCCATTATGCTAACTGCTGGTCCCATCGGAGTCTTGCTAGCCTGGCTATTCCTGTTACAACCTAGGCTACCTGGGAAATCTAGGCATTTGAGAATGTGATCCCTACAGGCAGCACTATCTCTGGGGATTGCCTTTGGACCATAGGAGGTATGGGCGGAGACAACAGGAGCCAGAGTGCCCCAGGGTACATCCTGACCAAAGAGCATACTTGCCTTTTTAGAAATCATGGAAAATTAGAACAGCTCCTTTAAAACTCCTTTGGAATGCATGCTTAACTCTCCATCCGAAAACTGAGAGGGCCTCTTGAAAATATCACAATTAGAAGGGGTGGAAATATCAGGTATATTTGTGTTGTAAAAACTTCAACAGCGTAGGCAACAAAAAGTATAATTAAAAATTTCAAGAAAGGAGGTTAATCTAATGAGTATTAAAGTAACCTCAGGGAAATTGGCTCTTATAGTCCTAATGTGTGTGTGAATCCATACATGTAATATGTCATGTTACATACTATATGTTGTATGTCTGTGTGAAAAAAGGCCTTAAAGAATTCTATTCAATTTAGTTTATAAAAAGAGCACTCATAAAAATTAGTTTAAATGCTTTTCAAGTTCATATAACTTTAGTAAATGATTTCAAATGTAATGAAAAAAAAAAAGAATAAGTAAAAGTCTTCACAATTTCCAATACATATTTTGTCTAGGTTTTTATTAATCAAGCAACGTCATGTTTATCTTAATATAGTTTGGTTAATGAAACAGCCAGTATTTATATATGTGTGTTGCATTTTACATGGTGGATATCTAATAGGGAAATAAATTCATGACTAACTTTTTCTCTTTAGCTTTAGTGCTAACAGAAGATCTTTGACCTCAGAGTAACTTTTGGATGTTTACATCCAAAAGAGAGATGTTAAACTGACCAGGCTTATTCTTTAT